CAGCAATAACGACGACGAGGACCTGACCCCGGAGCAGAAGGCGGAGCGGGAGAAGGAGCGGCGGATGGCCAACAACGCGCGGGAGCGCCTGCGCGTCCGCGACATCAACGAGGCCTTCAAGGAGCTGGGCCGCATGGTGCAGCTCCACCTGAAGAGCGACAAGCCCCAGACCAAGCTCCTGATCCTGCACCAGGCCGTGGCCGTCATCCTCAGCTTGGAGCAGCAAGTGCGAGGTCAGGGGGGCCTCCTCCCGCCCTTCCCAGGGGTCCTTTTCACCGATTCGGGCTCAAAAATCGAATAGTTCAAAGCGTTTTGTCGCCTCCTTTCCACAGAAAGAAACCTGAACCCTAAAGCCGCCTGTCTGAAGAGGAGGGAAGAAGAGAAAGTGTCTTCGGATCCGCCGCCGCTCTCCCTGGCCGGCCCCCACCCTGGCATGGGAGACGCCTCCAATCACATGGGACAGATGTAAAAAAATAAAAGGCAAGTTTGGGGTTTTGGCTGCACCCAAAGGGGTCACCCCCGTCCAACCGGCCCATCCCGGTCGGTGTAAGTGGATTTTTGGGTGGCCCTGCAGCTGAGGGCTGGAGGAGGGCGCGGGGACGCCCCCACTGATGGGATTTTCTGCTTCTTCCGCAGGTCCAAGTTGCCACATTTCTTCATTTTAAGCAAGAGACCACTTCCTTAACAGCTGTATTATCTTAAACCCCACATCAACACTTCTCCTTAAGCCCCTTTTTTTTGTTTGTTTTTTTGTAAGATAAGACAAGTCTGAGTAGTTACGCATCGCAGACGCAAGAGATTTTCAGCATTCCCGATGGCGAAAAGAACCGAGGACAAACGAGAAACCATTAAAAAACAACACAAAAACAAAAACCATTAAAAAGTCCACGAAAAACCCATTCAAAAGTGCAACTTGAGGGCCGACTCTTGAACATATCACGCAGAATGTGGAAGGCGGGAATGATCCCAGGTGTCCGTGCGCAGCCGAGAGACTGAATGGCAATCTTCTCCACACTGTGGGACAATGCATTTGTGCCTAAACTTCTTTTGGAAAAAAAAAAAAAAACACAACAAAAACACGACAAAAAAAACCAACAAACATTAAAAAAAAAACGAAAAAAAAAAGAAGAAAAACGAAATAAATAATAAAAAAAAAAAAACCAACAAAAAAAAAGAGAATGAATTTGTAAGTCGAGGAAAAACAAAAGTATTTAATTTCAAAACAAAACAAAACAAAACAAACGGTAAACTTGCAATAATGAAAAAGTGTACTTCTGAAGATAGGAAACAAAAAAGCGCGACGCCAACCAACCACCCGCAAAACAAGCACGGGAAGCGAGCGGGTTGTTTTTGCTCTTGGTCGGTGTCCTAGACAAGCCCGATGTTTGTGCTTCGACCGGCTCCGAGAAAAAGGGAAGCGTTGCTGCCCAGGTATTTCCACAAAAACAAAACAACCAACCCAGCTCAAACCAGCAAACGTCCTAGTGAATAAAACCGCAAGCGATGACATTAGCCATTCCTTTAGGGTAGGAGGAACAGATGGATCTTATAGACCTATGACAA